CAATCATGATTAAATTACATCGTTATATTCAATCTCGTGTGTAATACAGGATAATCAGGATAATTCATCGATGTCATACAGGAAATCCGGACTCCATACCATACACACCGGTACGACAGCGCTATCTTTAGCCATTCAACCATCGTTAGCATGTCGATGCCTTGTAGCCAGAGACAATACGGAAAGGTAACTGTCTTTCGTCGGGTCAGGAATGAACCAACTGAATCTATTAATTAAACCGACTACAAAGGCAGGAGAGCGCAGCGCATCCTGTGAATAACAAAGCACCATCACCGACAATCCATCGCGCTCTCTATCCAGCAAATATCTTTGGTCCGCGGTCCACTTTCCCGCGTGCCTGTGCGGAGCGCACCGGCGACAGACGCTCGCATCCAGCCCCGCTCCGCCCAGCATCTCCCGCCATCCGCGGGCGGCGCCACCGTCGCGCGGCGCAGGCCGGAAGCCGCGCCCGCCGCCCACGCCCCCGAACCAGCGCTGCCGCCGCCCGCGCCCCCGCGGCGAGGTCGCTTTTTACGAGCGGGTCCTGCGGCCAGCGGCCCAGCGTCGATTGGGCGCGTGCCGGCGCTCCGCCGCCTGTTGATCGGCCTCTGCCATCGGCGGCGGAACGCCCCGGGCTGTACCCCCTCCCTCCGCCCCCGGTGGGGTCCGGCCGCAGGAATGCCGACGCTCAATCGCACTAACTTATTCACCAGCCCGCGTGATTGTGATCGACTGTTGCGTGATGGAACACGGCCGGGCTCTGGCGCCGGCAGCGTGACTGGCGGCGGCTACCGTTACAGTATTGGTGTGGTTTGTATGTCGTGATCCCGTAAGTGCGCCTCGATTATGGCGACGCGTCGTATAATTTTGAGGGGTTTGAGCTTCCCTTCACGGAATGTCAGGCGTTCTATAAAGGTGTTCTGCGTATTGCAAACAGCTCAGACCTTTACGGATTGCCCCAATCGATAAGAATATCCTTTGCGCTTCATTATGCACCTCGTTATGCCCCCAACAACCGCCTCACAAAGTACATAGCCCACGCATCGCGTGCTTTCACAACCCCCAGTCTGATCCCTCAAAGCGACATACAGCCGCTCGGACCCCAGTCTTCGCCGCCTCCGCCGCCTCCGCCGCTCACGCCCTCGCCGATACCCCACCAGCGGCGGCTCGCAGTCCAGCGGCGCGCGATCTAATCTGCCGAGAGGTGCGCAGGCTGACGCCGGCGCGGGTCATCTGCCGGCGGACGGTCACGAGAGCCTCGCTCGCTGCGACAAGTGCCACGGCCGGCGTCACGAACCCCCACGAACGTCACGAGCCGGCGTCACGCCACGCATCGACCCTGCGCTAGCTAATCTCGTGCCGCCGCCGCCGCTGCCCGCCGGGCCCCGGCCGTTTGTTTGCACGGCTTGGCAGTGGCTCTGCCTCCTTCGCCGCTCTGCCAGCGAGGTTCTCGGTTTTTCCGCTGCTCCGCTGGCGGTCTGGGAGAAACGTCTGTTTTGGGGAGTGCCTTTGCCGCCATTTTGCTGCCTCCGAAACGTTGTATATATGCAGTCACCCCCCCCCCCCCAAACACGCACACACTACAGACACACACACACACACACACACACACACACACACACACACACACACACACACACACACACATATATATATATATATATATATATATATATATATATATATATATATATATATATATATATATATATACATATAGTGTGTGGGCACGTACGTCACGTTACGTCTTACCGTGGGGGCAGCACTCGATGATGTTGGCCATTCTTGTGGAAGGGCTAGCCGAAATTTAAACTCATTGCCCTTGGCATGTCCTGTTCAGTTCAATGCACCGTCCACCACGTCAGCCTCGTTGACCCTATTACGGTCAACTACCTTTAACCCGGCGTCCCGAGTACGGCTGCAGTGCAGCGGCGGCGTGGCCAGGAGGGCGGGAAATTACGGAAGGGGGGGGGGGGGGGTGCGCTTTTCCGACCCTTTCGAATCCACTTTCGCCACGAAACATCACCGCGCTAATGCTTAACTTTCAAAACGTGGGGAGCTGCTGCTGCCCGTGCCCGGCTCCCAGGCCCTTGGCCACGGCGTCCCGTCGGGGACTGTGCGGAATTCGACGCAGTGACGAACGTGACCACCCCGATCGGCTGGTTCTCGCGGCAGTCAGTTTTTTTTTTGGTCTGCGTGACTCAACCGCGCCGACGAGATTTCATCGGTACTCGCGATATGGCGCGGGATAGCGAAGGCATGCGACTGCGCGTGATGGGCTGGCCCCATTCGCCGGTCGCGCGCACGCCAGACGGCAGCGCTCCACGCCGACCTCCAGCCGACCGTCGCATGCGACGGCGGGATGGACGCGCACCCCTTGCACCCATCGCGCGAGCGTGACAGCACGCTAGGGGTGCCAGCCGCTAGCTGAGTCAAAACGGTCTGCACGCCGGCTCTGGCAGCGCTGATCCTCACTCCTCCCGCCTGACGCCTGTCCGCGCACCGGCCTGTGTCCGCCCAGTCCCGGAAGGCCTATCTAGCCAGGTTTAAACCCCACATCCACGGGTAAGCAACCGTGACGTAATGTAAACGTGGCGGCCGGGTCGCTGCACGGGTTAGAGCCGTCGCTTGCCTCGCGGTGTTCGCGCGGCTGTCGCGGACGGCTCGTCCGCTGGCCCGACACACCACCGCCAACCAGGTGCCTTGCCGGCGGTTGCTCGACCTTGGAAACGAGTCGACCCAAGGTCAGGAGTACTCGCGTCACCACGATGGAATGCGAAGTGCCCACGCTACATCAGAAGCGAAGCAGACGGGCTTGACCTTGGATGGCGGCGCGCTAACAAACTGGTGAGACGCCGCTGGTTTTTTTGCGGGCGTGCGGGATCAGCTCGTCTGTGGACTGGCATTCACATTCAGTTGGGGATTTCTAGGAATTGTAAGAAGCGCCAGACTCAACCATTTTTCACGTGAGGGGTCCGTGTGAATCACGAAAAACTAACGCGAGACGCAACCCAACCTTGACACGTTGTCCACGCATGTTTTTCAGTTGCGTTCGGGAGGGCGTTGAAAAGAATCTCAGGCAATCATCACTTCTGTTTTGCAAAAGAATGGTCTAAATGCACAGCCGGTTGATTAATAATGGCTGCAGTGTGCCAGAATGTCGGTTTGCATGCATTTGATTATCCTAGAGGTATGTCGTAACGGCGTGCCTTTCATGCACTTCGCAAGTCAAGACGATTATTTGGAATGACGTCGTCGCATCCGTAGACAGGAAGCCCAAGCAAATGCATTCAAGCCAAAAACAACCCTATTCGTGTCCTAAACTGGCCTACATCACCAGCGCCAGCTTGAAGAGTACAGCGCGGTACATTCTTATCGTCTATAGAAGTTGGCGTAGCCCTTTGAGTACGCGCTGCATAAGTTTTGCACTTTTCAGCTGCTCCTGGAAGACGTGTCATCTACCATGAGCAGTGAGCTGGTTTGTTTATATCCCCTGGATGAGAACATTCCCCACAAGAACGTTAAAAAAACACTGTCGTCTGCTTGGATACAAAGCGGTTTAAATTAACACAGTCTCTGCTCTGAAAGGTGCAAGGAATGGGCCGAGAGTACTGATGGGGAAACCTTTTGTGGAAAGAGATCCAAGCAATGAATATCTGTTGCGCACATGGAAACGACAGTTATTATACTACAATTTTCGGTTTTTCGTAGCGTCGCTCATAAAATTCAATTCGATAAGCGCTGCTCGAACTTACCTTGAACGGCGGACTCGCGTTGGTTAGTGCAAGGCGATGCCATGGATTGCAATACTCCTCAATTTCTGTTAAGTGAACTCATTTGTCACAGGCCAAGTCTGCGGTGCGCCCAAGTGGTTATTGCTTCTCCAAACTGCCGACATTGGACAGCCTGACACCCAGCAGTTGTCCTCGCCCAGAGCCGCGTGGACCAAACATGGCGCAAACGGTCCAGCTCGAGTGCCTCCAGTGTTAAAGGAGGCTAATGGCATATCAATAAATCAGCATGCAGTAATAATATAAGCAAATCTAACATATACTTATACATAATGACAATAAATACGACTTAACATCGAGGCCTGCTTCACATTTGAAGTTATTGCAGCAAACATCAGATATGATGAAATAAGCTTGCTTATAGCTATTTGTATTTTTTAATGGAAAAGTCTGCTCCAGGCAACACAATTTCCGTTTTGTAAACATGCTGCTCAGTACGTCATTGTTTGATTGCGTCATCGCACGTTGCACAAAAATGATTGAGAGGCAATTGTCTGCTGTTACATCTGGAAATCGTGCCCACGACCCTCAGATACGAACGACTCGACTATTAAATTTGTATTGGTGTTGATCGCCGCTAATGAAATGACAGAATTTGAATGGCGTTATTTTGGCGTAGTGGGTGCATGGATGACCATTAAATAGTCCCAACGAAAATGTTTGTACATCTCCGCCGGCATGCAGCTCAGAAACTAGAGCTGCGTCGATATTAAAAAGGACACGGCTGCGAACTGCACCGAATGATCTTCAACATGGCTATTTCAGTTCAAAATCCTACGCAAATGTGGGACGCTCGCTTCAGTAGCTGCTGCCGGCACAGACCTGTTTCGCACAGGCTGTCACGGAGTGGGTTGATGACGAACAGCAGGCTCCCACAAAAAGGAAACGTTGCCGCCGTCGCCGCTGACACAGATTCGCCGGGAAAAGAACATCGCGGAGCTCCACACTCCCAATCCACCCGGCAGTTCACTGCGGCGACGCCGCGTCGTGGGCAAACTCGGAACTAATGCTGTAGGCCGCCGCCGCCAGAATCCGCGCAAGGCGGCGCGTCGTGCCGCGCGGCACCTGGCGCGTCCCATGCCCTTCCGCCTGCGGCCGTGCGCGTCCGCAGCGCTGGCCGTGCCCTGCCCTTGGCCAACGGGACGGACTCGTACGCGCGGTTCCGCCGCCGGCCACCAGAGGCGCTGGCGCTGGGCGTCGGCCGGGCCGGCGCGTAAACGTACGGCGTACGGCGCGGAGGAAGCAGTGCAGGCAACGCCCACTTCTGGTCGAGATATTGGCGGCGACGGCAGCGGTGAAGCATGGCAAACCTGCAAGTCCTGTGTAGGCCCTCGGGCATCCTGAAGCTGCTTCAGATCGTGAGTTCATTTGGGCTGACCAGGCAATGAGAGTGCGAGGGAAGGCGGCGGCGGGCTTTGTGCCGCGGTGAGGTCGGAAATTGAGGCCAATTGGGCAGCGGTCGTTGACTTGGAATGTTTTTGTGCCGACGCGTTCTCATCATTTGAGTGCGCATCGTCGTGCTGTCGGCGACCAGGGAGCTAGAACCCCCGGCATTGCTAAAATTCCGCTGATGTATGGAGTGGCGTCACCAGGCGCACCCAGCGTCAACTGCCGGTGACGTGAATCCTCCGAGCCCGTCGTGGGCGTGCTGCGACGTCAGGGGGCATCCGCTAATCATTGAAGCATGTTCAGCGCTCATGTTCATTAAAGTGTTGCACTCAGCGGTGGTGGCTGCCGACATCGAACCAGCCGGCGGGTTATCTTACGGCGCTACTCGTGCTGTATTGCATGCTCATGACCACTACCACTTGACCCCTGAGTGCTTCCCGCCCGCACAGTTCCGTGGCCGCCCGTCATCTCGCACTTATCGCAAGGCTGCGTCCGGGCCGGCGGCTTTTTGTCGCGCGCGTCACCTGGTTTATCTGGTGTGTCATTCGGCGCTATCGGACTCGCAGGCTTCCGAGGCGCACGGCATGCCAGCCCGTCCCGTGAGAGCCGGCCGAAGCCGCTCGGTTCCGGCGCCGGGGGCGGCCGGAGAAAGCGGCCTTTGTCCCGCCGCCGGTGGGGGCCGGTGCGCACGCAGGCGGGCGGGGCGGCGCCTCCGGCCCGGCGCCGGGCGGGCCCACCCCGATCCGGCCCGGCTGGCGACGCCGGCGGGATTGCTGGGACGCGGCCCGGCTGGGGATGGCTGCCGGCTGTGGCTGGGGACGGATGCTGGCCGTGGCTGGGGACGATCAGGGTCTCTGGTCGGTCTTGGCTGGGGACGACCGGTGCTCGTGAACCTGCGGCGACGCGCAGTTCGGCCGCGCCTGATTGCCTGAATTGGTTCGCGTTATGGCCGCGGTCATCAGAGACTCCTGAACTGCGATGAATCTCAATTACAGACGCTGCTGCAGTCGGTACATTCTAGGCGCGGCGAAAAGGATTCAAATTTTGAAATAAAATTATCCCTGTCCCGGGCTGACTCCTGGCCGACTGACGGGCTTAATGAAGAGTGCGCGGACATTGTGGGCGCGCGCTCGCCGCTCAGGTAGGGGAGGTGGGCCGTAGTGACCCAGTTCTGGCAAACCGGGCCAGAGGTGAACTGCATGGCAGACAGCTTTGCTAGCGCCACGCGCGGTTTCACTGGGCGCATGCGGTTTCCACGGCGATACTATGATTTACTATTACTATTACTATTTACTATTCTATTATCTACTCTATTCTGCTATTTCGCTGCGCGCTGGCCTTGCATGGGTATTCTGGTGATGCGCCTTAATGTTTCCTTCATAGCTTTGGTTACATACGAGTGACAACTGAAATTTTGAAGGTTGGTTGAGCCTAGCATAAAAAACTGATGTAGAAGCCTAAGGCTATGACATTCTGTCCGTGCTGGATTTGTGCCACGACTACAGGACAGGCGAAAGGCGACCGAAAATAACCAAATTGCGGCGAGGATAGCGCGCATGCGATACGGATAGAAAATAAATCATCTTTGCGGAGGTCTTACTAAGTTTTGCTCTTTTTATGCCATGTAAAATGACGCCAAACACCCTCCCGTGACTGTGGGCTAAATACCCCACCGGTTGGAGTCGGGACCGCTGACCGCTATACACTAACCGTATTTCATTATTGGAAAACGCCCACCTGCTCTGCGCCGCGACAGCAGCCAGCACACAGCACCTCCCAAACGGACCTTCTGTCGGTGATTTACCATCCGCTGACATTTGTGGGCGTGGCCGGCCATTCTGCCCCCATTTGTATCCTGATGCGCCGCGTTCAATTCCGGCGCTGCGCTGCACAAACATGAATTAGTGTCCAATCGGCTTGCCAACCAAGCACGGAAGCCCGCCCCAAACCTATCGGACGGAGCACGGCGCATGCTTCAGCGTGTTACGTCGCTACGACGCGAAACGTTCTTCGCTACGGGGCGAAGAAGCCACAGTTTCACCGCTTGTTGTGACCGCCCTCTGAGCTCCCCCCCCCCCCCCCCCCCCACTATTTCCACCCAGCACGCAAGGCGCACGGTCGCTCTCCCCAGCGACGCGTCGTACGCGGCCGTGCCCTAATGACAGCCGACGCTGTGAGGCACAGGTGTACCCATCGCGTGTTCGTACGTCGCTGCAACACGGTGGCGGAATGACGTGCTCAGGCCATCTAGTCATGCACCGCATGCGAGGGAGTCGACCGCAGCGTCCCTGGGGAGGTAACTCGAAAGTGGATGCACATACACCACGAGCTATCTTTCCGTTTTTCTTCCTGCGGTGTTTTGGATTGGAAATTGCGCACGCCCAGCCTTGATTCTGTTTCTTCTTTAATAAAAAAACTTAAGTAGTCCGGACTGCATGGCCCATGGAAAGAGATCTTGGCACGTTGTGCAACACATTCGCGACGCAAATACGTCTCATCAATTCAACTTCGCGTCCGCACTAACGCACTAACCACGGTGAAACGTTAATGAACACGTCACGTAACGCCGAGAAGCGCACTGGACTTTCTACCTCAAAACAAAAACTCATGCGCTGCAATGGGGCCCGTGCCTGCAGGCAGACTGATCCCGATTCCACCAATTTCCCCAACCCTTCCTCCGAATTCTCACGAAGAGAGAAACCCCGGCCGAAACGCCCGAAACCTCTGTTGAGATCTGGGCTAACAGCGGCTCGCCCCAGCGCGCGCTCTGCCCACTGGGCGCTCATGCACGACGCTGAAGGCGGGCCGCTGCGCGTCGCCTTCAGCGGCCCACTTCCGTTTTACGACCTCCGGCGCGGCGGTACGACGCGTCCCGCCGGCCGGTTACGACACGCACCGGGAACGGCGCGCCGCCCGGGCCGGGCCGGGAGCTCAAAATCGATGCCTGTCGGCCGTGCCGAACTGCCGCCCGTTCCCCGAACCGGCGCCGCCGCGGCGCGTCGGAGTTCAGGTCGCGTCGGAATTCAGGTCGCGTCGGTGTCGACGGCGGCGGGTCCAGGCCGGCGGGCCCGGGTCGACGCGTTGGCCGTGCGGTGGGCCTAGATGACCCCCGGTGGGAGGCGTCGCGCCCCGCGTCGCTCGAGGGGCGCCGGCTCGCTTGCGGTCGCGTGGCTTTGCAGGCGCGGCGAAGGGTGACAGGCAGCCAATCACGGCGCGCGAGAACGGAGCTGGCGGCGTCGCGGCGCAGTGCGCCACGTATGTGTGCCGCGCGCCACATGTGCACCGACGGTAACGGCGGCCGGCGAGATTTCCGTGCAGGGCCGTTGGCGAATGAGAGCGAGACCAAATGGAGTGGAACTCGCGGCGAGCATTCTCAGAACGGACCGGTCATGGGTGTGGCACGCGTCGTTAGGACTTCCGCTTTCCTTGCTCATGTTCCTTAGAATCATACCTTCCGGAATATGATGGCAATCGCTCGACACATTTGCAGATTCGCTGAGCCCTTATTATGCCACGCATACGGATTCGCCGATGTGCCGTCAAAGCACTAATGCAGAGCCATTGCGTAGAACTATCACACTACCTTGCATTGGCATCGCAGTTGAGCACCGCATGTTTGGGTTTGCTCCGTTACCTTGACACATATGAGCATGTCACGGCTCATGACAACGCGACAACTATCTCCCTATTCGTGACGGTCACCTGTAGCCGGAAATTCACGTTTTACAACGCTCACGATCAATGACTAACAGGTCGCTGTGACGGCTGAAAGCACTATCATACGTGACGTAGCGTAACTTACTAGCTGTTCAGTGTAACTCGCTGAACAGGTGCAAGCACGTTCGTGTCAGTGGCTCCTTCCTCCCGCTAACTACCCGGAGTTCGTTGACCTTGAAAACAACGTGGCTAATGGCAAGGCCGTTCTGCCTCAAGTAGTAAAGCGTAGCCTAGATTGCGTAGGGTACACGATGAGTTAGTAATCATACTAATGCCCTGGTGACCGGATGTCATTGACAGTTCACTCAACACGACGATAACAAAACACTGGTGATTGTGACGGTTGGGCTTACAGAGCTAAATGAGCGAGCACAGGGAGCACCGGCGTACATCAACAATCCTGAACGGAGGCAGTCGGGCTAGGACTGTTGTTTGATGTATTACACGAGGACAAATACATTTACAGTTGATCAGTGGGCGCGATAGTGCTGTCAGCCTATGGTGAAAGGGAGGTGGAGTGAATTATATCAAACAGGCAGGTTCGATGCAATTCAATGGTGTCGCATTCCCGCGCTCAACATCCTGGCAGTCAAATCCAGCATGGGCAAAATGATGTAATGCCGGCAGCAGACATCCACTGCCAGCCGGTTGCGACAACCGGTGGCGGTCCGCAAATCGTAGGCCGGCCCGTCGGCTTCAGCGATCTCGCTACCGATGGAGAGCCGGCCAGAGCAGCATGTACTGACCCTTCTGTTTTCACATCAACGGCCCCGCTACTGTCGCATCCGTACCAGGGATTGTTTTGGTTCGCAGTGTCGCCCTCGCAAAACGTCCGCGATTTGCCGTTAAAATCGCGCTTGCGTCGCGTACTAAATGGTGACCGCTACTGACCCAAAATCGTTGCGACTTTCAGCCCACTGCCTTCTCCCTTTCAGGTCTCCAAGCCCCCCTGTGTGCACCTGAACTACTAACCTCAGATCACTCATTCCTCGACACACCCAAAGGGAGAGGAACGAGGAGGGGAGAGGAGGAGGAGGGGAGAGGGGGGACGTCGGGCTGTCGGGCGAGTCTGACTGGTGTGGGCCGCCGCCGCTATCGGCGCTCCCCGCTATATCGGCTTGTTTACCGAGTTTCTGCGTCGGTGTGCAAACAGTCGTCCCACCACGTCGGGGTTATTGGCGAACGCCGCGGGCGGAGGGCTGCGGTCAGGCAAAACATCCCTTGCGGATTTTTGCATGCATAGGCAATAGGTCAGGGACGGGTATGAGTCCGAGGGCCGCGTTTGAGTCGGAGTCCGAGTCCAGGAGTGTTTGAGCTCGAGTCGCGAGGCGCCCTTGTCAGATTACATAGGTCCGCGATCGAGTCGATTTTTTTCGCGTTTCATGAGTCCGAGTCCGACTCCGAGTTCGGGACGAGTTTTAACCCTTGGAGACCGAGCCCGAGCGCGAGTCTGTGTGTGAGCCGTAGCGTCTTCAGTCCAAGTCGAGTCCGAGTCCTGCAGGCCTACGATCCATGCCTGTCATAAGCCACATCAAAACAGACCACTGCCACTTCTGTAGAACGTACCATATGTTTGGAGACTCAAGCCGCCAAAGTTTCTGAAGTTTGATTTGTGGCTTACGGACGTCGCGCAGATGGAATCAACCTCTAATGCCATTGCTTCCCTGCATTATTTTGTAGTCCTAATAGCGGAACCACTGCTGTGCAGTACCACTGCCACCAGTACCATTTCTGCACAGCTCAGCTGTTGTGTCTCCACGTGATCAGCGGCGCCACCAAACCTCGAAAACGACATCCTCATCGGAGTTGAAAGAAAGGGAAAAGAGAGAAGAGAGAGAGAGAGAGAGAGAGAGAGAGAGATACGGATATACATATATAAAGGGGAATGTATGTATATATATATATATATATATACCTTTCATTCAAATGATATATATATATATATATATATATACCTTTCATTCAAATGATATATATATATATATATATATATATATATATATATATATATAAAAGCCCAGCGACGTCCGTCCGGCCGTCAGCAACACGAACAAAGTGACCTGCGTTAAGCGGAGCATAAATCGCGTGAGACCCCGGACGCGCGATCCCAATTACTCGCCCGGCCTGCCGACCGCGAATCGATCGCGAGCTCGCTGCTGCCTGCCTCGAATCAGATATAATGGCTGTGCGGCCCCGTGCCTGCTGCACGCACCCGGCTGCCGCGGCGGCGAAGCGTTCAAAACAATGGCTGGCCGTGCCTGGCGGCGGCGGTGGCCGCCCACGCAGGCACCCGCGGCGCGCGGACAAAGGCGGAGCATCACACATGAAGTTGAGAGGGGTTTCGGTGACGGCGGTGACACGGTCGGGCTGGGCTGGATCAACGCTGTGAGAGATGAAAGAAGTGCATGTCGGCGAATTCGGTCTCCGCTAACCATCGAACGTCCCGACCGCAGCGACGTGTTTGGTGCATGGGGTAGAGACCTTCCATGGTGCATTTGTCCTGTTTTCCGGCATGTATGCATGAGCCTCGGACGCAAGCCGTGCAAAACGCCGCCGTCTCGCCAGCGCAGCCGCCAGGGGACGCTCGGTCATCGCCCTGACTGCCTCCGGCTCCTCCGCAGAGGCGTGCGGGGCGGAGCAGCCCTAGCCGTACCCGGTACCCTCTGACCGCCTCCTTGCTCTCTTCCGCTTCCTCCGGGAGACCAGTCGCACCGTCCTCCCGGCGGCGCCCGTCTCCCCTCCCTCTGACCACCGCCGCCCCCTCCCTGGAGGCCGGCGGCGCTCAGGCCTCTCTGACCGACGGCTTCCTCTCTCCACAGGCGATCTGCCTGACGTGCCTAGGCCTGATCAGGCAGTACGGCCTGCAGTTCGGCACCGGCGGCTGGATCGTCGATGGCAGCAGCCTGGACCGCAACATGGTGGGCGTCATCGCCTGCGGCGGCATGGTGCTCGTCACCACTCCGCTGCTCATCGCGCTGGTCGCCGGCGAGATCGCCATCGAGAAGTCGTTCCTGGTGAGACGGCATGAGCGACCGCGGCCCTCGTCGCCTCTGTCTGTCGCTGAACGGTTGTTGGACGTGAATGGTTGTGGGATACTACAATCTTCTGTTGAGGCTGAAGCTTGACACTAGGAACAATGGGATAATTTCATGCTGTTTTGCGTTGCTCAGCTATAGATTTTGTGCTCAGTTGGACTTGTGGGTTGCTGGCGTTTTATGGTGATGGAGATTATATCACGCATAGAGGAAGCAGATGTTACTGCAAAGCTCTAAGGCGCACCCATAGTAAAAAGCTGTAAGATACGTTCTGATTCCAGCGCTCTAAGATACGTCACCATAACAGAGCTCTAAGGCGCATCTCCAGACTGTTTCGCGTCGCTGCCGACCTCTTTTGCGTAACTGCGCCGATCTCACCACTCAAACGCGCCGCAGGAGACGCTCTTCAACATCGTGGGCTTCATCATGATGGTCACCGCCGGCATCATGGCCATCGAGAACTACCACGACAAGAGCGACAACGAAACGCGCGATGCCGGTCTCGCCATGGGCTCGCTGGCCATCATCAACGCCATCATCTACCTGGTGGACGCGTTCGTCGCCTTCCGCCTGAAGCGCGTCTAGGCGACTCGCAGACGTGGTGCCACCTCCGCCGCGACGGTGCTGCCACCTGGGGCGTTAGTCGCCGTTCGGCCAGAGCCGCGCAGCGCCGTCCCCCGCCGTCCGGAGCGGATGAAAGGGCACAGACGGTCGCACCGCTTCGCTTGACGTGCTGTTCGTGGGTGTACTGATACCGGTCACAGTACAGCTTTTCACGTGTACGCTGGTCCAAATCTCTCGGTGGCCTTGAATCATGTACGCCTTTCACTTGCGCCTCTTGTCTGCATTTTTAGAAGTCAAACATTTTTGAAGTTGATATTTAATTGCGTGCGCTGTTTCTCTGTGGGCCTATTGCGGCATGGTTGTGGAAGTGGACGCATATTACCAACACAGGTACCTAACACATACCAAATAGATGCATTCAGAGTGGTCCACCTACACCTCATGTTCGAAATATTGGATGTTGAATGCGTTTTTCATGGTACAAAATGTGAAGCACATGCCGTTGATGGAATTATTTATGTCAAAATAAGACCGGTCTGCGTTCGTCCGATTGATTTTGAATAGGATATGTTTTGAGGCTTTGTTTACCTTTCCATTTTGTTCACGTTCTCAGATGCGCAGGACTGCTCTTTTCTCCTAGAAGGATATATTTTTAATGGAGCGCAAGAATGTGGTCCAGTGAGGTGAAAGCCGTAGTTTTTCGAGTGAGAGAGGTGGGTGCTGTGGAAACGTAGCTATGGTAAGTGATCGTTAGTGTTTCGTTTTTCTTACATTTAGCGAACTGGCGCCCGCGGATTTTCAAACAAGCGTGGCGTCTTCACAACAGAAGACATCCACGAAAACACGCTCGGGTAGACCAGTTGCGGATATTAGACTGTGTCTAGGTTTTCCTCCTCACCGTAGACCAGGTTCTGTCAGTGGCATGAATATTGATCACAGTCGGCTGGTGAGTTTGTTCGGTGGAAAGTTGCATTTTACGCAATTTTTGTCGGGTCCCGGTTCTACTGAAACGTTATCGGTTGGAACGATTCTCAATAGGTTTCTGCTTGCGCGCTGTCACATGCCTTTGTGAATACAATGTCGCAAAAATAAAAGGACAAAATGACATGTGTTTGGCACAATCTCTGTGCTGCAAACAAGTCCCTGCGTTGCACGAGGCGGCATAGATTGGTGAACAGTTCTCAAACTACTTTCGCCACCATTCCTAAGTGCGGTGCCGCCCAGTCGTGGCTTTCATCGGACAGCCACGGCGAAATCAGGTTAAGGCGGACGTGAGCGAGGGTTCGGGTGCTGAACAAGACCCGAAGCTTCGGTGTCAGGAGACCAGCCCCAGGGGTCCTGGATCCACATCGGTCGCAGTGCGTCTGATCTCCCACTGACGTGGACAGCGTGACAGTGAGTCAGACCCCCTCCCACTGACCAGCAGGACTGACATGGTCCAGCCACCGCTCTCCGGGTATCATCTGGACGTGCTCTGCGCGTCCGAGTCATGTTGAATTGGCTAGACGGGGCAGAGGTTCCAGCGAATCCCACGGGGTTTCCACATTGCCAGTTCATACACGATATAGGCAGTCTCCACGCGAAACATACATGATATAGGCAGTCTCCACGCGAACGCACACGATATGGGCAGTCTCCACGCGAAACATACACGATGTAGGCAGTCTCCACGCGAAACATACACGATGTAGGCAGTCTCCACGCGAAACATACACGATGTAGGCAGTCTCCACGCGAAACATACACGATGTAGGCAGTCTCCACGCGAAACATACACGATATAGGCAGTCTCCACGCAAGACATACACGATATAGGCAGTCTCCACGCGAAACATACACGATATAGGCAGTCTCCACGCGAAACATACACGATATAGGCAGTCTCCACGCAAGACATACACGATATAGGCAGTCTCCACGCAAGACATACACGATATAGGCAGTCTCCACGCGAACGCACACGATATAGGCAGTCTCCACGCGAAACATACACGATATAGGCAGTCTCCGAGGGGTCCTCCGCTCGGTACCCCGTTGAGAAGCACCCTGCACGTTGTTGGACCCACTGCATGGACCAGCAGCGGTCCGCCATCATCGGTGTTGTGTCACACAAAGAACACGAGCGTGGTCAACGGACGGTGGTCGTGGGAGCCATCTATCGGCCAGCGGAGCCAACACTCGACCCCAGTTTCGCGACGCTGCTCGGGCAGGTGCATGAAGTGAAACCACGGGAGAAGCCTTTCTTCCTTCTCTTTGGTGTGCATGAACTGGATGTTGCCTGTTTTGGTGTCACTTGGTTACACTGAACATAGCAGGGTCCAACAGTCAATACGCTTATTGTATGCAAGCCTTTTTGCTAGAGGTGAGCTAGTGGCCGGAAATAATACTGAATCGCGAGAATTCAAATCATGTCCTGACCTGACTCGTGTATGGCAGAGCAGAATGACGAAAACGTAGCAAAAAAAGCAAAGGCGAAACTACGACAACTTTCCTTCTTGTGCTGTGCAGCACACAACAGTTTCTCTTCTTCTTGCTCTGCTGCATCAGCAGGTCAGGCCTGTACTTTAAAATATTGGCAACAAGTACAGCTCACGAAAGTTGGGTAAAACAAATAGTTACCGGCTCTATGAGCGTTTTGAACATTTTTATTACGGGAAGCGGAGATAAAACCGCCGCCAAGATTCTCGATCAAAGACTTGCTCGTTTCGGAATGACCGAAAATCGACACATCATATGCCAATAAATCGTGAGAAGCCCGACCACATAAGCAGTGAGTTGGCTTTGATGCTGCTGTGAATTTTGCATCTTGCGCAATCGCGACTAAAGCAACTACACTCCTGCCATTCTGAAAGCCTGAATACTCGTCCTGACAAACAGCGGGGCAGTGCAGCGCCAGAGGGTCTGTCCTCAAGCCGCGGCGGACAGGCCTGCGCCGGGCCGACCGTGGGCAGGCCACTCAGACCACTCACTGTGTCGCGTGCAGTTTGGCATGCACAGACTCTGGCATGCACGCCATTTTGCGAGGGAGTTGGTGGCCGTTTAGTCTTTGGGCTGTATAGCGAGGATATGAATCCCCCCGTCACTATGAATCTCGCTATATAGCGAGGATATGAATCCCCCCGTCACTATGAATCTCGCTATATAGCGAGGATATGAATCCCCCCGTCACTATGAATCTCGCTATATAGCGAGGATATGAATCCCCCCGTCACTATGAATCTCGCTATATAGCGAGGATATGAATCCCGCCGTCGCTATGAATCTCGCTATATAGCGAGGATATGAATCCCGCCGTCACTATGAATCTCGCTATATAGCGAGGATATGAATCCCGCCGTCGCTATGAATCTCGCTATATAGCGAGGATATGAATCCCGCCGTCGCTATGAATCTCGCTATATAGCGAGGATATGAATCCCCCCGTCGCTATGAATCTCGCTATATAGCGAGGATATGAATCCCGCCGTCACTATGAATCTCGCTATATAGCGAGGATATGAATCCTGCCGTCGCTATGAATCTCGCTATATAGCGAGGATATGAATCCCCCCGTCGCTATGAATCTCGCTATATAGCGAGGATATGAATCCCCCCGTCACTATGAATCTCGCTATATAGCGAGGATATGAATCCCGCCGTCGCTATGAATCTCGCTATATAGCGAGGATATGAATCCCGCCGTCGCTATGAATCTCGCTATATAGCGAGGATATGAATCCCGCCGTCGCTATGAATCTCGCTATATAGCGAGGATATGAATCCCGCCGTCGCTATGAATTTCGTTATATAGCGAGGATATGAATCCTGCCGTCGCTATGAATCTCACTATATAGCGAGGATATGAATCCCGCCGTCGCTATGAATCTCGCTATATAGCGAGGATATGAATCCGGCCGTCGCCATGAATCTCGCTATATAACGAGGATTCAAACCGCAGACTGATCTGGTTGTGCACGCAGCGCGATGGCATGTAGATGACGAGGAAGCATGGAGAAGATACCACGATGAGTCCCTTTCTTCCTGCTGTATACCGACTGTGGCTTTTCTTCTTCCCGTTCTACTTATTTAATACAATCTTAAATATGAAACTATTGGTAACAGACACAGGAATGTTCCCAGGGGACACAGGGTTCATGCCTTCCTAAAAATTGCTTTGAACTGGTCGAGACCAGGCCAGTGCAACTTGGTCTAAGCCGAGGTTGCCGGGCGAGGGGTCTTCATCGTCAACCGAACAGATGTCGCTCCAGTGGCCCGACTCGGCCCATCCGACCTGTCACGCCCCCGACAGTCACATCTGTTTTGGCAACAACTGGCTGTGTCACCATGACTAGGCATTTCGTGACCAGGGCTTGACTGGACAAGTTTGCAGCAATAAGTAGCTGCGCTGTGGAATGTCTAACATGTCTGCATACCGAATTTGTAATCAGATGGGGTTTCCCTGCAATCTTGCATATCGCTACGATCTCATCTGCTTCAATCGATGATCATGGGAACATAGTAGTTATAATGCAACATAATGTAGCGAAAGGGCTGAAGGACATTAGCGGAAACCAGGTCCACATCCCAGTGATCCGGCATGGGAACGACACGAGGCTGAACACTTTGACGGAGGAGAGACCGCATTATTGTACTAACAAAGTGGGATGAAGTGTGGAACTGGTCACCAGCTGTGCAATGTGCGCCATAGACCAGTCCGTCTTGGGACGTTTTTGACAACTGGCATTAGATGCATTTAGAAAAAAAACTGCGTGCTTATAATATGCTAAATGTGTTCAGAAAACTATACATATACATCTATACAAGCGCATGTATATATATATATATATATATATATATATATATATACATATATACATATACATGGTTGTTCGGCATGGGAACGACACGAGGCTGAACACTTTGACGGAGGAGAGACCGCATTATTGTACTAACAAAGTGGGATGAAGTGTGGAACTGGTCACCAGCTGTGCAATGTGCGCCATAGACCAGTCCGTCTTGGGACGTTTTTGACAACTGGCATTAGATGCATTTAGAAAAAAAAACTGCGTGCTTATAATATGTTAAATGTGTTCAGAAAACTATACATATACATCTATACAAGCGCATGTATATATATATATATATATATATATATATATATATATATATATGTATCTCTCTCTCTCCTCTCTCTCTCTCTCTCTCTCTCTCTCTCTCTCTCTCTCTCTCTCTCTCTCTCTCTCTCTCTCTCTCTCTCTCTCTCTCTCTCTCTCTCTCTCTCTCTCTCTCTCTCTCTCTCTCTCTCTCTCTCTACATGAAATCCTGTATATGCACGTATATCAACCAAGGGATTTCATCAACAGAAACACACCAAGCAAACATTGACCGAAGTCACGAACATCAAGCCGTAAATCATTCGAGAAAAGCATCACGCACTGTTCTCGGGCCGCGTTATATCGTGCAACCTATTGGATAGACCGCGTTACCACACAGTGTCACATGGGACGGGCTTCAAAAGGCTCCAGCAGGAAGTCATGGTGCTGACGCTTCGTTTTGTCTCGCCAATGTAGGTGTTTGAGGGGGTTTTACATAGCTGGCGGCGGTAATGAAAACGACGTGTTTTGTGTGAGATTTTCCTAGCAACACTGCAATGCACGAATTACATGGCCCGTTTCCAGCTGAGCAGGATAGTGAGTCCAGTGCCAAAGTTGTCAGATGCGCAGCTTATGTTGTACCGCGCTTCCATGCAACGCGTGATGGAAACTCCGACGATTTTATTGCTGATAATGCCTTCCTTGACAGAATGTTGTCTATGAAAGGAGTGATGTATGCGAAGTCAAGTTTTGTGTTGTAGGCGTTTCAATGTTTGCGTGGGTCGTCTGGAGCATGTTTTGGTTAGGTATATACTCCGTTGAATCGTCGCGTAGCCAGCGCCTTGGAAACGGGGGGTGGGGGGGGACATGGTTGACAAAGGGTTCCCTGATAGTGAAAAGGCCCTCCCCCCAAAAAATCGCTAGATATGGCCCATGTGTTAATGAGGGCATGCTTTTCATTGACATTTGCTCATTTTTCCTTCTATTGCGGGAATAGAGGCAAAAAGCTACTGC